GTCCCAGCTGGTATTGGATACTTCTTTGACAGATTTACAGCAGCAAAGGGCCGAAACAAATGGAATGGCCGACAATCAAATAACTTACAATTTCAACAGCAATGATCGTGAGGAGTCCAAATCAATTGCAAAGCAATACTATGAAGCTGCTGCTGCTCAACATCACAAGGCCGAAACCAATGCAATTAGCAATCTTTATGTTGATTTGGGTGGGGACCAGCCGGACAACTTCACTTCCAATATGCCGAATGTAGTCATATTGCCAACTGGTGTTGGCGCTTTATCTCCACGCCTGGTTGAAGCTCGTGACAAGTCCTTGGATCCATCATTAAATCCGTTAAATATTGACCAATCTGTTGTTGACGACAATAATGGCCGACAAACAAGAGGCAAAGGTGTGCGGATTATTGTGCCATCTGATAGACAATTACGGTCCACAACATCTTTCCAAAACTCATTCCAGGTTCTTTCTAATGATTAGTGGTATTTTTTGGAATATTAGAGGGGTAGCTAAATCCCCTAATTTAAGAAGAATGATTAAATTGGTAAGATTTCATCGTGTTCAATTTGCTGTGATTTGTGAACCAAAATTAGATGTGTCTAAAGTTGAGTCCATCCGTCTAAGGTTATCATTTGATCATGCCTTTGTTAATCTTTCTGGTGATATTTGGGTTTTTTATAGAAGCCCTTTTGCATGTTCCATTGTGGGTAATTCGGATCAACACATTTCAATACATGTTCAGTCTTCATTCTTATCTAGTCCAATTATCATGTCGTTTGTCCATGCTAAGTGTTCAGTCGAGGAGCGTCGAGATTTATGGTGCAATTTATTAAATGATAAACCAATCTCTCTTCCTTGGTGTATTGGGGGTGACTTTAATGTCATCTTAGCTGCTCATGAAAAAAGTGGTGGTCGTCCATTCACAATATCGGAGGGGGTGGATTTCATGTCTTTCATGGAGGAGGCTGGGGTTTTTGATATAGGCTTTTCTGGAGCTAGTTTCACCTGGTCTAATAATCGGAGAGGTAGAGCCAGAGTTTCAAAGAGGTTGGATAGGTTTCTAATTAATGGGTCGTGCTTGGAAATTTCAGATGTAATTTCTGTGATTCACTTGGCAAGACATCCTTCAGATCATGCACCGTTGAAGATTTCTTTTGCGGATCAATCAGACAATAAGCCGCGGCCTTTCCGTTTCTTGAATATATGGACTACCAAACCCGAACTCTTGGAGGTTATTCGACAAGCTTGGAATCAAGATGTGGTTGGTTCTCCATTACGTGTACTATGCTCCAAATTATTGGCAACGAGGAGGGCTATTCAAGTATGGAATAAACAACATTTTGGAAATATATTTGATGCTGTGCGATCTGCGGAATTGGCAGTCCAACGGGCAGAACAAGTTGTGGATCAAAATGCCTCCGAGGAATTTCATGTTCAGCTTAGCAAGGCTCAGGCGGAATTACGTCATGCACTATCAATTGAAGAACAATTCTGGAGCCAAAAGGCCAGAATAAAATGGCTTGCAAAGGGAGATCGTAATTCAAGGTATTTTCATGCGGTTGTTAAGCAGAGACGAGCTCAAGGAAGGATACACCGTATCAAAAATTCCAATGGTATTTGGGTGGAGACGAATGCTGAAATAGTATCTGAAGCAATAACATACTTCTCAGATATTTTCACAACGCCCACTTTACAGTCTTCTACTGATTTGCTGCATTTAATTCCGCCTATGATCTCGGAAAACGACAATGACAAATTGGAGAAATTACCCTCGATTGAGGAGGTCTATCGAGTTGTGAGATCAATGGATGGAGATAGTGCTGCGGGCCCAGATGGATTCTCTGGCAAATTCTTTACATTTGCATGGGAAGTTGTCGCCCAAGATGTTCATAATGCTATAATCAGCTTTTTCTGTGGGGCAGAGTTACCTCGCTTCATCACTTCTACCTCTATTGTGTTAATTCCCAAGACGGCAAATCCTCAGGATTTCTCTCAATTTAGGCCAATCAGTCTTTGTAATTTCTTCAACAAGCTAATATCCCGGATTTTAGCAGATAGAGTGGCTTCTATATTGCCAAAAATTATTTCTCCCCAGCAAACAGGATTTGTGAAGGGACGTAATATAACAGACAATTTTCTTTTAGCTCAAGAGATAGTATCGGGCATTGGAAAAAAGAATAGAGCTGGAAATGTGGCAATGAAGCTAGACATGTCTAAGGCATATGACCGGGTGGCATGGGATCATATTATTGGTGTTCTACGAAGATTTGGTTTTGGGGAAATATTCATTGATCTTGTATGGCGATTGATTTCTAATGTTTGGTTTTCGGTCATTATAAATGGGTCATCCCATGGTTTCTTTAAATCTTCAAAAGGACTACGTCAGGGTGACCCTTTATCGCCTGCATTATTCATTATAGGAGCTGAGGTTTTGTCTAGAGGTTTGAATAATCTTGCCTTGCACTCGGGATTTGTGGGCTTCAGACTTCCACATGCATGCCCTTCTATAACACATTTGGCATTTGCGGACGATGTCCTCATATTTGCAAATGGATCTTCACATTCTTTAAAGGCCATCATGCAGGTGCTACAGATGTATCAAAGGTGTTCGGGACAGTTGATAAATGTACAAAAAAGTTGTTACTTGGTTCATCCATCCTTGTCACTTGCTAGAAGAAGGGTGATTGAACGTATCACAAGTTTTACCTGCCATTCATTTCCGATACGTTATTTAGGATTCCCTCTCTACTACGGAAGGTGTAAAACATCATATTTTGGGGAAGTATGTCAGTCTATCCTGGGGAGGATTATGACATGGAAATCAAGGTTGCTTTCATTTGGAGGTAAGATAGTTCTAATCAAACATGTATTAGCATCAATGCCATTGCATCTGCTCTCAGCATCGATTATCCCAGCTAAAGTTTTTAGAACTATAGAAAATGCTTTGTCAACCTTCCTTTGGAGGTCATCATCCGACATGTCAAAATATCACTGGATACGGTGGTCTCGGATGTGTTATCCAGTTGAGGAGGGAGGAGTCGGCTTTAGAAGACTTCAGGACGTCTACAGAGCATTTTCATTCAAGCTTTGGTGGAATTTCAGAAAGGGGATGTCGTTATGGTCTCAATTTATGAAAGCAAAGTACTGTAGACAAAAACATCCCTGTCAGGTAGAAATCAAAGCAACGGACTCGGCACTCTGGAAAAGGATGGTGAATGTGAGTCGACAAGTGGAACTTTCTATGCTATGGGTGGTCAAAGATGGAGCTTGTCATTTTTGGTACGACAATTGGTTGGGTAATGGTGCATTATTCCTCCAAGCGACGGTTATCCCAAACTTATCATTTAGTAACTTTATCAGTAATGGACATTGGGATACGAGTCGGTTATGTCAGTCACTGCCAAGTCAAATGGTGACCTCCATTTTAAACCACCCAGTCCCCGAAGAGGGGGGTGAAGCGGAAGTCATATGGATGCCTACTTCTTCCGGAAATTTCTCTCTAGCTTCAGCCTTTCGGGATATTAGGCAAGCCCGTAACACGTCAATGGTGTTTGATAGAATTTGGCATCCTTGTCTTCCTTTGAAAGTTTCTTTCTTCATGTTAAGACTTTTGCTGGGGAGACTGCCAATACCCGACAGTTTACGTAACATTGGTTTCCATCTTCCATCAAAGTGTTTTTGTTGTCCATTGCCATCTGAGGAATCAATTGAACATTTATTTTCAAATGGCAATATAGCATCAACAATTTGGAATTATTTTGGAGCTGCATGTGGATTCGATTTGTCAGCGTCATCTTTGAGACTCCGCATAGTGGGTTGGTGGTTGAAATCATACGATTCTGAGATACGTCGGTTTATTGGACGGGTTCTTCCCTGTCTTGTGTGTTGGCATATCTGGAAGGCAAGAAATAAAGCAATGTTTGACGATGTTCAGATGAGGTCGATTGCCATTTGTCATGCCATTTTCTCCGAAATCCAATCCATGGTGGGAATTTATTTAAAAAAACCTCTCCGAGTACCATCTTTTTATCATTTGTATGACTGGCCTAATTCATCGGAGGTTGGGTTTACATATAAACTTGTACGATGGGAAACAAAGGAATCTGGTCGGCTCACACTTAATACGGATGGATGTTCTAAAGGTAATCCAGGAGTGGGTGCAGGCGGTGGAGTTCTTCGGGAGTCAAATGGTCTACCTTTGATTGGTTTCTCGGCATATTTTGGGGAAACGACATGTCTCCTTGCAGAAGCTCGTGCCCTCCTTATTGGTCTCCAAATCAGTGCACATAGGGGTTTTTTGAATCTCAATGTGCAATCTGATTCGCTGTTATTAATTGGAATTCTCCAGCATCGCATTCATTGTCCTTGGTACATTAGACGGGTTATTAGGCAGATTTGGCAGATCATGGAAGATCCAGATCGATTTTCCCACTGTTACAGAGAAGCAAACACAGTGGCTGATGTGCTGTCCAACGAGGGCGTATCTCATCCACAGCAGCAACTCAGGATATATGAGACATTTAATACATTTCCACCTATGGCTCGTGGAGCAATTCGTCTGGATAAGCTAGGAATGCCTTCAATTAGGAAAATTAGGCTTGTGTAATAGTTTGATTTCTTATCTAATTAATAAAAGAACTACTTTAAAAAAAAAAATTATTAGTATGTGTTTATATATGGTAGGTTAGGTGAATATTAGATGTGTTAATAAGTATTTTAAGGACATCGGTTAGAAATTTTCATCTAATAAAGTTTCGAACCTTGTTTTTATTTATTTAATCTTTGATAGTATGTATGCTCGTGTTATTCAGTTATGGATAGGCACATGGACAAGGGATCTCCTTCTTTGTTGCATGGAACAAGAGAGACTTGTGGATTGTGATTGGAATTGTCAACGATATATGGTTCAAATAGAAAAATGAGGCCAGCACGTCATCGGATGACATGTTTTTTTTCCCAAAACGGCAACATCATATTAATCACAAAAACTATTACAAGGTTAGAGCCTTCGTTCCTCCAAATCTGCTTGAGCTAACTCTAGCAGCCATGCTGGGAAGTCACACTTCCATTCAGCAACATCTATCAGGTCTATAGCATACTTTGCTATGTGGTGACTAACAGAGTTGTTAGACCTCCTAGTGAAGGAAAAACAACATTTAGAAAATTCAGTTTTTAACCGCCATATGTCTAACAGTATAGTAGCTATGCTAATCTCCTCCTCATGTGCATTGATCTTGTCGACTACCACCTTACAATCTGATTCGAATTCCACCATCCTCCACCCTTTACGTTTAGCTACCACCATTGCCTCCCTAATCGCCAAAGCTTCCTCAACTTGTGCTTCTGCACATTTTGTAGTTGGACATGCCCAGGCTCCTAACAGCATCCCATTCCTATCCCTTGCCACAATGCCCCATCCAGCCTTGCAGGTCTTCTTGTGTAGAGCTGCATCAGTATTGATTTTGATCCAGTTGCCTTGTGGCCTCTCCCAACCCCTCTTTACCTCAGCCTCTCCAAGTTTCTGTCCCACCTCCACAGTCCCTTCCTCCTGAGCCAATTGGTACTCATTCCACTCCATTACTGCCTTGTTAACAACTGCCATTGGGTCTCTACTATTATTGTTGAAAAGCTTATCATTCCTAGCCTTACAGATTTGCCACAAAATATGCACCGTGAGAACAATGTGGTCTCTTCCACCCTCCCTACCCATAGCCCCTCTAAGTTCTTCCCACCAATGCCAAAAGCAATTGGTAAAAACCTCTCATCCATCCCAGCTCAGTGGAGCAGCTTTCCATATTGCTTTAGCTAAGCTACAGGTAAAAAGCATATGTTCAAGTGTCTCAGCTTGCTCACCACAGCACCTGCAAATAGGGTCACCTTTATCACATTTCCCCCTTAGCACAGCATTTGTCGGCAAAATTCCCTGTAGATACTTCCAGATGAAGTGCACGTATTAATATGTTGGGTTGCCATTCTTCACGTTTCCCAGTAATTTTTGTAGTATGTTATTTGTAGGTAGAAATGGGATACGATTTACTTTTAACTTATTATTGATGTTCATCCGGATCCAACCATTTTTTTTCATCCAGATCCAGATCCAACCATTTGATAGTATCAATTTTTATTATGGGTCATTATCACTTTACCCCCTTAATATTTGGTGTCACTATCAATTTCCCCATTAACGTTATCTTTTAATCACTTTACCTCCAAAACTAACGGTCAAACTTAACTGAGTTTATTAATTAAAGTGAAAAGACATATTTAACCCTTAAAATTATTATCACTTTATCCCTATAAACTATAGTCTCATTATCAATTTACCTCATAGAGTTATTTTTGAGACAATTTGTCCTACCATTAAATCAATTTAGCAAATTAAAAAATTTTAGAAGGAAAAACCCTCCTCTTTGCATAATAAAAATAATAAAAAATTTAGATTGACTCTTCTCCTTTTTAGTATCAAGAAAAAAAGTCAAAGTATTAATTTCTTTCTTTTTGGTAATCTTATTAATATAAAAAAAAGAATAGAAAGATGGAGAGGGCGAGAGAGCTCAATTCTTTTTTTAAAATTACAAATAAGAAAGAATTAAATACTTTTATTATTTTAAAATTATTTCACTTTTCTATTTACTACCAAATTCCAATTCTAATCCCGACAACCTTAATGTAATACGATAATGTTAGACTTTTCTTTATTTTCTTTCTTTGCAAAATCTAATTTTCTTTCTTCTTCTTTTCTATCTCTTTTTCTTTTCCTAGTATTAATAAGTGTGAAAAAAAAGAAATTTGAGAAAACTCTTTTATTTTTATGGTTTTTGATCTCTTAAAGTGAAAAAAGGAAGAATAACCATTCCAATTTTTTATTTTTAATTATACATAAAAAAGGGTAAATATATTTAAAATTTTTTGACCATGCTAGTTAGATTCACGTTGAAGTAAAATGGCTAGAAAATAATGTTAGGAACTAAAGTGATTGTATCACTATAATCTAAACGAATAAAATGATAATAACAATGTAGTAATGCTATAAAATAAAGGGGTATTTCTATCCAAAATTTCTTAACATGTTGAGTTGAATTACTTATGGGATAAAGTGATTAAAAGATAACGTTATGGGGTAAATTGATCATAGTGATATAGTTTAAGGGAGTAAAGTGATAATAACCCTTTTATTATTTTTTTTAACCATTTGAATATTTGATATTAGTTGGTCCACAAGTTATACAAAGTGTACACAAGAAAGGGCCTCATCATGACTTGAAACTTCTTGTTTATAAATAAATACTAGTGTGAATGGCTCATTTGAGTTTGTGTCCAAATTAAAATTGTCTTTAAAAAAAATTCCATATATACTAATACACTTTTAAATCATAGTCCCTTTAAAGAGTAAAGAATAAAGATGGGCTGCCAGCCATGTAAATGTAGGAGTAGACATTTGCATTCAATATTTTGAGTTAGAACTCCATGTGTAATAAGATACATTACAAAGGCTATATATACATTTCAAATTGTGTCATCTTAGGAATATATTTTTTTCCCAGAAAAAAAAATAGAGTTTCAAAACAATATAGAGACTATCCAACCTACCGTTGCTCCCTTCGGACAATGCTTGCCGGAGTTTTTGCAAGCCCAGAGACCAGTACCTTGGCCATCAAGGGTTCCACCGTAAATAGAAAGTCCGTTAACTCTTTCAAATTCTTGCAATTTTGGCCCCAAAATGATGCTCCACCAACCAAAAATCTTCCCTGTGGAACGTTAGATTGTTGCAGGCGCAACTGAGGCACAAGCTGCAGCCCATGCACTCAGAAAAGAATTCGTGGAATCACTTTTCCCATCAGATTTCGCCCCGTAACTCTGCACATTGTACGTTACACTCTTTGCTGATGACAAGAGGAAGGAAAAGAAGAGAAATGGGATAGCGAGAAATCTCATTTTGCTGTTCATTTTCTCATCAGGGGTGGCTATTAGAATCTGTAAAGGCTAAGATTAATTTTGGTGTAATAATCTGAGGGATGAGGAACTTGAAAAGCAATGGGCGATATTTGTAGGCTTGGAGTGAATGTAGGGATCGAGCAAATCACGCCATGCTGCCAATATTTTTTTTGCTTTAATTTCTTGTGTTAGTCAATGTCAGAAATGACAGTTTAACTTTAACAAACAAAAACAGTACGAGCAAGCGTGAAGCACAAGAAGAAAAGGGTTAATTCTACTTTGTCCCCCCAAACTTTGGATGATTATCCATTTTAGTCTCTAAATTTCAAAATGGGATACTTAAGTCTCTAAAACTTATAATTTGGGACACTTAAGTCCCTAAACTTATAAATGGGACACTTAAATCCTTAAACCTTTATAAAATGGGACATTTCGACCACCACGACATTCAGTATTCTGTTAACAATTTTCGTTAATTGGGAGGTATTTATAAGTTTAGGGACTTAAGTGTCTCATTTTGAAGTTTAGGGATTAAAGTGGGTAATCGTCCAAAATTTGGGGAGACAAAGTGGAATTAACCCAGAAGAAAAGGAAACAGAAGAATTATCGGCTGAAGTTCTTAGCACATGAGACGTGGTTATTATAATGTGAAAAGGGTTTTAAAGAATTGGAAAAACAAAATATGGAAAGATGGAAGACTAGTTCTCAATAATTAAATGGAAGAAATATTCTACGATCACATGGTTTGTATCCCAATGATTGATTTGCAAAAATTTCGTAATTTTAAAGGAAGATCATGAGAGAAAATTTAAGATAATGACAAGCAAACATCCCTGTAAAACTCCTTTAATTGCTCTTCTTTAGCATTCCAATTCATAATTCCACGAGGATAGAGTAGCATGGATAAATGTGGGCTATGTCCTGAGAAGGAAGAAACTTTTCTTTTTTTAAAAAAAAAAATTAGCTTCCTTTTCAAACTTTGTTTTTGAGTAGTTGAGAGATGAAAAAAAAGCAGAAGAAAAAAATAAGAGTAGTTGAGAGATGAAGGTTGTAATGAAGGAATTACCAGTGAAAACCAATATCCTTGTTCATGCAAAATTATCCATTGATTATAACAGTTTAATGTTAATCAAGTCAAATTTGGAAAAGATTTTTGAGTTGGTTAACTTTTAAAGCAGCTTCTTATAGCAGAATTTGTAAAAGCATCAAAGGATTAGCCATGATGAATTGTATCTTGATGGAAGAGGTTCATTCATTGAAAGTTTGAAACTCGAGCTCATCCTGACTGGAAAACTAAAAGTACGAAATCCAAATGCAATACTTGACTAGAAAAGAAAATATTGATTCGAATTTGAACACTATTGTAATTGGGTGGGGTTAGTATTTAAGTGATCATCTTTACATTGTCTTCAAACCTTTAGTCTTTGAAAACTATATGGATTATATAACTTCAATTTTTTTTTCTTGAGATATATGTATGTATGTATGTCAACAATTAATAGTCTGAGATGGGATCGCAATTTACACCGCAAAAGCATGGCTTTACTGATCCAAGGAAAAAGTAGATGCAGAAACAATCTTGATTAGGCCATGATTGAAGGGGAATATGTACCATACCAAATTTAGTGTCCAATAGGGGAAGTTGCCGAAGTATTTTAGGTAAATACTATGGTCACAGCTACCAATAAGCTCAGGCAGGACTCAACCTTGTTTGAACAGCCAGAAATTATGTAAAGAAAAAAAAAAATTTGAGCAAGAAATTTGAAGGAACTTTTCTTGAAACCCAAGTCATTTGTTTGATTTAATTTTGGAATCTCTGGGTTTAAAATCTGGAAATTGTGTATTATGCTTTTCCCTTTTGCAATATGTTACCATTGGTTAGTGATAGAGCAGTTATTTAGTACATTTTACACTATTATTCTGTCCTAATTTTGGCTACTCATGGTGCTAAGAATTGGGAATTTGCTCATTTTTTATATTTGTGTAAATTGTAGGTGATTGGTGTTAAAAGTGATCGCGTGAGGTAAATTTCCAGAAGACCTTTTATTTTATAGCGTGTCCACGCTAGAAATTGAGGAGATATACCTAAAGCCGGAACCGCGAGATTAATAGCAGCAGGCTGACTAGGAAACCAAGCCCACGTGAACAATAAAAGGGATTTTTCTTTTATATTTTTTTTTTCTTAATAGAAAAAGATTTGCAAAATTTGAAAAAATCAAGTCATCAACGGAAACGGAAAGAGAGGGATTCGACGCATGGAATCAAAGCCAAAGCCCCAAAAGAAAGTACAACTGCAGACGTTTCTTGGTCTCTGGGCGGCGGCTTCAAAAAGAAAAAAAGGGCCAGAATCACGTCTTATCAATTAGCGTGGCTTGAGTTTCAATTTTGTGTCAGACGTCTTCTTTTTCATTGGACTTAGTCTTTACTTTGGTCTCCTTTAGCCGACTTTGGGAGGACAATTGCTTTGGTTTTCAATTTCGTTTTTTTACTTTTCTTCCGGGGACGGAAATTTGGGGAGACAACAATTGAAGGCTTCGTATAGTTTTTTAGCATGGTTGTTCTCCATTAATGGAGGACTAATCTCCTAATTCTAGTCAATGGGATAACTGAAGATTTGATTCAATAATTACTGTGAGATCTAAATTGTTTTAACTGCTTCCTTCATTTATTGGTATTCGTATGTTTTTTCCTTTTAATTGTTGTTATAACTATTGTGTATGATTGAATAGATGCGCAATATTTAATTATTCACGTAGGTTATTGTGCTAATTAGGG